AAAAAAAAAAAAAAAACCCAACAACAACAGCAACAACAAAAATAAAGTGTTCCACCTCCTGGTACTCATGCCCTTGTATAATAAACTCTTGTTGAGTGTGGGATGGATTTAGTGACTTGTTTCTAGTGAGTAGAATGTGGCAGAGGTGGTGGGGTGTCACTTCTGAGATTAGGTTACAAAAAGGCTGTGGCTTCTATCTTGGGTTGTCTCTGCCCCTCTCCCCCCACCTCACTTTCCAAGGAGCCAAGTATTATGTTGTGAGCTACAAGACCCCAAGACAAGGAACCGAGCGAGGCCTCTAGCCAAAATACAGTGAGGACCCGGTGTCTCTGGCCAACAGTCAACGAGGACCTAAAGCCTACCAAGAGCCACAGGAGTGAGACTGGAAGTGGATCCTCTGCTGGGAGGGTCTTGGGATGGCTGCAGCCCTGGCCGACACCTTGACTGCAGCTTTGTGAGAGACCCTGAGCCAGAGCACCAGCTAATCTGTGCCTGGATTCCTGATGCACAGAAACTGTGAGATAATAAATGCTTATTGTTTTAAGTTGCAAAGTTTTGCAATTTGTTACATAGCAATGGATAACTACTATGGTCCAATAAATTCCCTATTTTGCTTAAGTTGGTTTGCATTGGCTTCCTGTCACAGGCAACAGAAAGACTTTTAACTGATGAGGAACAAGCGCCAGGGAAAATGCATTGAGCATGCATGTTGCAAGTGACAGTCATGGATCTGGCTGAGTTGAGAAGGTAGATTGGGGGACAGCATAATTCCCTTTCTTTTGCCTTGGGAAACTAGCTTTTTTTATTATTATTATTATTGATAGTGTAATAGCTGGTTAAACTGCAGCTTGTTGTGTCTTGAGATTCATTCAGATCATATGTTTCCTGAGGCCATAACATTAGAGGACTTAGAAACAAAACTTCAGGATGGTGGAGTGTGTGGTGTTAGGAACATTCAGTGAGTGCTTATCCCGTGCCAGGCCCTCATCTAACGCTTTACTCGTATTTACTCATTTAGTCCTCACAACAGCTTTATGAGATAGGTATTTCTTATCATTCCCATTTTATAGATGGGGAAACTGAGGTACAAAGAGGTTAAGTAGCTTATTCTGAGTTTTATAGTTAATAAGAATTTGAACCCAGAAAATCTAGAAGGAAGGAGAGAGGGGGGTGACAATTTGGATAGCAGGCTTCTGTCCATGGAAGGCATCTTCAGAGACTGGTCATGATCAGATGCTGCCCAGTCCTGAGAGTTGGGCCTCCTTAAATTTTGTGCTCTAGGCACCTGTCTTGCCTCACTCTAGCCCTGGCCCTGTGGCAAGAACATGGCTGTCTAGAGGGAAATGCAGGACATATGGCCAGGAGAGGCTGCCATAGCCTAGGTAAAGGGTCTTATAACCCAGCACTATGGACTGGATGTTTGTGTTCCCTAAATTCATATGAAGTCTAATCCCAAAGGTGATAGTATTAGGAAGTGGGGCCTTTGGGAGGTGAATAGGTCATGAGCCCTCATGAATGGGAACCCTCATGAATGGGACTAGCATCCTTACAAGAGAGACTCCAGAGAGCTCCCTCACCCCTTCTGCCTTGTGAGGTCACAGTGAGAAGACGGCCATCTATGAAACAGGAAGTAGGCCCTCCCCAGACACTGAATCTGCTGGTGCCTTGATCCTCGACTTCTCAGCCTCCAGAACTATGAGAAATAAATTTCTGTCATTCATAAGCCACCAAGTCTGTGGTACGTTTGTGATAGCAGCCAGAACAGAGTAAGACATCAGACTAAAGGCAACAAGGATCCAGCAGGTATTTTTAAGCAGAGGTGCGGCATGATTCGAGGACTCTTTTGGAAAGTTTACTCCAGCAGCAGAGTGGATAGTGGATGGAAGGGATGAGACTGAGATGAGAAGACAGGTAAGGGGGCTATGAAGGAGCCCAGGTAAGGAAACGAGAGCAGGGACAGTCTGGGTGGGAGGAGAGAACAAAGGTGGGAGAGTGTTCAAAGATATTGATAATAATCAAAATAATCACTAACATGTGTTGAGTAATTACCATGAGTGAGGCTTGTGCTTAGAGCTGTACATATGTTTTCTCTTTTAATCCTTAAATCAACCCTTTTTGCATGGTACTCCTATTATCCCCATTTTAGAGATGAGGAAACTGAGGCTTAGCAAGGGAAATGTTACTGGAATGACCTTCTTTGAAGTTGTGAACATAGGTGGACACAGTCTTGTGATACACAGAATCCAACTGAAGTATCATCATTTAAGTACAGTACATTAAATACAGTAAAAACCGAAAATAATATGAATTTTGATATAATGCAGTTGGCAAATGGATCCTGTACTCACCCAGCCCCTGTCATCACGTGGAAATAAATGATAATGGAGAAGTCTTATTGACTGGGTGGTAGTTTGCTAAGGTCACACAGCTAACAAGCAGCAGAGGCAGGATTCAAATCAGAAAGCATCACACCCACCCGCACCTAACCATGAGGCTAAGCCATCTTGAATTACTTTGTTTTTCCATTGACGTGATTTTTTTCCCCACTAGCCTGTGAGCAACATGCTTGCAGAGACTTCCTTTCATCTTCAAAGCCCCAGTCCCCAGCACAGGGCCTTTGTGGCACCCAGCAGGAGCTCATATTCGTGCTGAATAAATGAGTGAGAACTCAGTGAGAGTCCAAGAGAGGAGAGTATTTCAAGCATGGAGGGGCCCAGTGTCAAATTCCACCAGGCGGTCATATAAGATAAGGACCAAAGGGTCTACAGGATGTGACCAATGGGAGGTCATTGTTGACCTTCTTAAAAGCAATGCGGATTCTCTTCAAGTCTTCTTGGGGCATTTGGTCTCCACACACTAAAGACCAGAGAGATGCTTGTTAAAATCTGTAAGAAATCCAAAGCAGTAAGGGGGCTGACAGGAGATGCCAGTCACAATTATATCCTTGTGGAGATGTTAGCAGAGTCTGCATAGCCCAGCAAAGCCATCATGACTATTGTGTGTAGAGAGGTGGAGAAAGGAGCTCCATGCCTGCCCCAGCTCTCCCCTCTCCCTCCATCCACCCACAGATCCGGACCTTTTCATGCAGCTCCCTTGACTGTATCACCAAAATGGTAAGATAGCAAAATAGTATCTGATCTAGTCCCTTGTGGCTGGAGGTAGAGGTGATCTCAAATGTCCTATCCCCTGAATCCTTCCAGTGCTAAAGAAGCTAGAGCCAGCAGCCTGTGCCTTCCACCTTTTCGTCCTTGGGCCCTTCTGGGCTTGCTCTTCTTTGCCTGATGACTCAATGTCCACTCACCAAACATGTAGGAACTAAGCCCCTACTATGTGCTGACCCCAAGCTAGTCACTGGGGATGAAAGATGAAAAAGAAAGGCCCTGCCCTCAAGGGGCTGAGAGTGTACTGGGGAGAGTGTGCAAGTAAGCAGATATTTATGATATAGCGGGATGGGTGTTAGGATAGAAGTAAGCACAGGGGACCTGAAAGGCCCAAAAGAGGCCACATATCCTAGCCTGGGGCTTCAGGGAAGCCTTTCCCAAGGTGGTGATGACCTTGGGGGGGATATGGGAAGATGTTAGGGTGAGGTAGTTGAGGTAGGCGGCAGGAACTAGGATAATCCAGTAAGCCAAATTGCAGGAGCCAATTTACAACAGTGAGAAATCATAAGGGGTGTGTGGGGATGTTACTACTCAAGGAGGGTCATCGGCCCACTGCAACACATGCCAATAGTCGAGAGGCAAGGTGATAGGGGAGAAAGGGTTTTATTACAACTTGCTAGCAAGGGGGAAGATGGCTGACTAATGTCTAAAAGAACTATCTTACAGAACAAAGACTACAGGCCAGTTATATAGGGGGCTGGTCTCCGGGTGGGGTGGTATCTGGTCTTTACATGGGGCAAATACCTGGTCTTATTTCCTAATAATCTTCTGTTTTACTGGATATGCATCAGAGACTGGAGCAACACCCAGATCTTTCGGTTGTCATTGATGATGGCTATCAGCATAGACTCTCTGCCTGGGGGTCATCACATTCCTAAGGAACTCAAAAGCCTAGAGGGTGCATATCCAGCAGGTTAGTTAATCAGAGGTCATTCAAAGTTACAATATGGTTTCTTTTCTACAATATGGCTTCCCTTATGTCAACCTTGTGTTGAGCTGGTATCAGGGAGACTTGAGGAGCAGTCTGTGGTGACAGAACATGAGGCTGAGAGGTTGGCAGGAAGCAAGCAGATCATGAAGGGCCTCGTTCTCCAGGACTGCGACCCTGGACTTCACCTTGTAGGGGATGGGGGACCTTGGGAGGGTTTAAAGCAAGGCTGTGACATCATCAGCTCTGGCTTTTAAATAGCTCACTCTGGTGCCTCTCACTTTTCTTTCTTTCATGTCCACTCATCTTCACATCTTGTGACTCAAAAGCTACATGTGATTAAAGTGGTGACCTCTAAAAACAGGAAATGTGTGTGGGCTGACATTTACACATGCATGGTTTGTCAGCTGCCTGAAGGCAGGCGTGTCTACTGGGGAACATTATGGGCCTTTCTCTACA